GGATGGATGAATGGAAGGATGGATAAATGAATAGATGGATAAATGGATGGATAAATGTATAATGGATGGATGGATGATGGATGGATGAATGTATAATAGATGGATGGATGATGGATGGGTGGATGATGGATGGATGATGATCTAAATCTGTTCAGATCACGTGCTCTCATGAATAAAGTCTGTTTCCTTCACTTGCTTGTGATGCAGCATCAGAATATATTTATGTTTGTGTGACCATGACTGGAAACAGAAAGGATTTTGTAAGAGCAGAGTCCTTCAGATGTTTTCCTTTTTGTTCAAGATGCATTTAGAAGACACCACTACATGACGTGCTGCGGTGCTCTGCTCTGAACGAACACCATTAAGCTGCTCACACTCACATCTAGCTGCAGCTCCTGCTCCAAAACAACACACGCAGCTTCGTTTCTTTTATGGCCACATGTAACATCTCGGTGTCCTTAAAGGACTTCAGTCCACGCTGTCAGTGTATCTGTGGAGCAGGAGGCGGGGCAGGAGGCTGTCCAGAACAGCTGAAGGGAGGGCGTGTACTGAACTGTCAGCAGTCACTGAGAATGAGGCCAACTATTGTTGCTGATGTTTTCACCAGACAGCAGCTCGTCTGCGCCGGACTTCACGCGCATTGACTGTGGGGGATTTAAGATCCAAAGCTCGAGCGTGTTTTCCTGTGAGGAGACCTGAACGGGGAACTGGTTTTAGGAGGGAGAAGCTGCTGGGTTCATGTCAGCTTCCATCTGCTGTTGAAGGCAGCAACATGCATATCTTACAGCCGTGCTGCATCAACAGGTTTGTGTTTGCACCAGAGATCAGGTTTATTTTATGGATGTGTATTTTTCCAGTTTAAATACAGTTTTAAGCTGGTGTTAGGTTTTAGATGCCAGTCTTGAATTATTAACAATGGCCCACCAACTGGATTTCCACACATTCAAATTGTGTTTATCTAATAAACTTGCCTGGACCTGCTTCAGATCAAACCTCTGGTCAACTATTAATTCACAAGTTGTACTATTGATTTGTTACATAATGCAGGGAAACATGGTGGCTCTGTGTCACCACAGTTCTGGAACAATCAGCTGTCTATGCTGGATTTGCTGTCTGTCTTTTAGTTCAGTGCGTGTGATTAAGTGCTTGTTAAATATTCAGTCTGTTGTTGAAGCTCCCAGCAGGATCATTTTACTGCTGCTCGTCAGAGGAGCTCCTCTGTCTTGTTTTAAAAAAATTACTTTTCTATTTCCCCTGTAGGAATAATGAGACAACACACAGTTTGGATAGTGGTTTCTACTCATTCATTTTAAAAAAGGACAAACATGTATTTCCCCTATGATAACAACACAAAGGTTTAATGATCAGACATCATCTCGTTTGTTTTGCTGTTTTATTCATTTTTTCTCTAAAGGTTGACGAGAACTCTATGGTTAGGGCGAATAAACAAATAAATAAACAACATTAATCTTAATGTCAGTAAAATGGGGACTCTACTAGAAGAACAGAAGCTTCACAAATAGAAAACTCAAAAGCTGAAATCATGAAATTATAATAACATTAACTGCGCCCTCTAGTGGTTAAACGTAAGAACGACTTGAGTCTCATTTTATGGACTGACAGCTAAACAAGAAATGTTTATGGTACAGATCAAACTGTTTGCCTGCTGATCGCTCTCATTGCTGCTTTGAGTCGTTCCACCAGGTCGTGCAAACATGTAGAAATAAAATTGACTTTCTCCTGTTTTTATTTCTGCTTATTTTCATAATTCAGCTCATGTTGCTTAGAAACCAAAGCCATCACATTACTAACTGACCGTGAGCGCTGCAATAAAAGTGGCCATGTTGGCTCGACCGTGAAGAGGAGCAAGGACCGAAACGTTAGAGAGGAAACTTACAACAAGCAAGAAGAAGAGAACAAGTAATGTTAGCCACATCTGTTGATAAAAGTCGGGGCGAGAAAGAGACGAGTGGACGAGGAAACAACTGGAATACAAGCAAAGTGCATGAGATGCACAGATGTTAGAAAGAGGAGATGGTAAATGAAGGGGACCTGCAGCAGCGTGTACACACAGAAACAAAATGCTAATGTAGTCCTCATCCTGTGAGCGTGAGGGAAGAGTCAATACAGAGGAAGACACAGGAGTCAGTAAAGAGATTAGTAAAGGAATTATCTTAATCCTGGAAAATCTGCTTGTCCCTAACAGTCGTACATGTGCTTGTCCATTGATATGATTTACTGAATTCTGAGAAGTACTGGAGAAAAATAATAAACACCGAAAGCACAAAGTACATTGACTTTAAAGTACCTTTGATTATTATCATCAAATGTTAGATTTAAAATCAAAGGATGGCTGAGGAGTGTGTTTTAAAACCTTAGTAACATAGAAACACTGTTGTAAACGGCACAATGTGTATTAGATGCAGTAGTAGCTATGCCAGGCCTGCAGGTGGCGCTGTAACACTGCCACCAAAATACTAAGAAATAGGAAACAAGGTCAAAAAGCTTATTAAGCTTACAGTTTAGATATGAACTGTAAACACAGCAAGAAGAAAAATGCAAGGATGGCGAGCAAAAATATAATATTTGATGTCTACGAACAACAAGTGGAACTACTTAATGTCACGAGAAACTCCAAGAAGGACAGGAGTCAGATCAGTCTAAAAATGTAGATGCAATGGATGTTTTTCAGGCACAGGGTCCAGTGAGAGATGATTGAAGGAAAAAGTTTCTGCTCACAATGTTCAAGTTTTTATAAACAAGTGCAGTGGTGGGCACAGCTAAACAAAAAGTTAGCTTTGCTAACCCATAATCTGCTAACTAATAAAGTTGTAGACACGTGCACAACAGACTGGAACAAACTTGTGAATCTTTTTAGTGGACTTAAAGTTGGCAAAACAAAATTGAGCTGGAGCTAATTGGTCCGCTAACGGTTTCCAAAGTTAGTGAAAATGTTAATCCACAAAATGAAAAATGTTTTCTGCTATTAGCTGTTAGCAGATTAACGGAGCCGTGCCCACCACTGCACAAGTGTCTTTTAAAGCTATTCCCATTTCATTTTCTGTAAATTGTTGCACCTTATTAATATTTTCCAGCAATTTTTTTATTTTTATTTTATTGTTGTTGGAATATGTTCAAAATAAACATTTAATGCTTTAGAGTATTTAATGTGATAATAAGAGATTTTTCTCTGCTCCTTTTTAAAGCTGTCTTTGTTCATCAGTCTTGTGTGTACCTTGAAGTAATACAGTGAAATTAAGGATTGGCTGTAATTGAGTTATTAGTTATGACATCATAGTTTTCAAAAGGTTGCATTTTGACTGTCCACACAAAAACGCAAGGGTGCCATTCCAAGATATTTTCATTCTAGTACTCGTTTTCAAAAAATACAGTTTTGCTTAAATTGTGTTTTTCTGTGGATCTAAGGCTGAAACATCCATCCATCATCCATCCATCCATCCATCCATCCATCCATCCATCCATCCATCATCTTTACACACTTCTTTCTTTTTGAGTCGTGGGGTCACTGGTGCTCATGTCCACTGTGCGAGAGACGGGGGACACCCTGGACAGGTTTCCAGTCCATCACAGGGACACGTAGAGACAAACGAGACAAACAACCATTCACTCTCTCACTCACACCTAGAGACAATTTAGAGTTACCAATCAGTCTAACATGCATGTTTTTGGTCTGTGGGAATAAAACCGAAGTACCCGGAGAAAACCCACGCATGCACGGAGAGAACATGCAAACTCCACCCAGAAAGGTCCCGGCCGGGATTTGAACCGGTGACCCTCTCACTGAGATGCAACAGCTTTACTACCTGATCCACTGTGCCACCCAAGGCTGAAAAAAACAAAAAACGTGTGTGTATTCATAGAATGCCATCCCCATGTGAACAGGGAATAAACTCTTCACTGTGGGCCATTTTCAGTTCCTCTTGTTAATTTGTGGATCTAGTTAGTTATTTGGATAACATCCTTGGACGCTCACACTTTATTTTGTATCATTTTAAAGTAAAAATTGGACAATGTAAAATGTGCGGGCAGAAACCTTTTACTCTCGGAGGAGCCTGTGATGCAACATGTAACCTTTACACCACAGTGGACCCAAACAAGTGACTGGGTTGTGCTTTGAAATGTTCACCTAAGACAACCAGATTTATTATTTTAAGAATCCAAAAAGTATTTCCCCCCCAAATACTGTATACTATTTTGACCACTTATTGAAAATCAATTGTTTTGTGTTGCAAATGTTTGTAATAAAACCTGTCTCTCTGATTGTGATTCATCTTGTTGTCCCTCTCTTTCTCTGGCCGCCCTCTCCTCCTCTCTGCTCCCAGGTGGCCCGATGTGCCGAAGAGGAAGAGGAAGAACAGCCAGTGTTCGGTGAAGAGCATGTCTGGTAAGGATTCATGGTCTCTGCCCACTCCTTGTTCATTTGATCACCTCCAAGCAACAAAACACACCAACAGTTTAAAACACTGAAGTTTTTAGGCTTTAAAAGAACGTTTGAGACATTCTGAAGTGGCGTTTCATGGAAATATTACAAGCTGGTAATATCTTACCTGTCACAGGTAGCTCTTTGTACCACTTGTTTAGACAAAAACATTGTTTAGATCTTATTTTCACAATAAAAGCAGTGTATTGTGGGAAAAAATATTGCACTGTGAATGTTTAAAACTACTGTTTGCTTGAGAAAACACCTTTGTTCCTCATTTTCCGACTGAACCTGTAAGATGGTGAAGACTACATTAGTTTTAGCTGCACTGAATTCCCCCAACAGTCCATTCAAAAGCTGTCAGAACAGGCATGATGTTATATTCACTTCAAAATGCCTGAAATCTCTTTTTGAACGTGCTGGAGGTTTTGGACAAGTTGTCAGTGTGACTTCTCATTCCGCAGATGGCTCTCCTGAGCTCTGACTGGTTTTCCTGAACCACAGACATGATAATCTCCTCATCGTGTTACATTCCCTCACCACGGCTCTGTTAATCACACTGTAGCTCACCTACAAGACACTTGTTACATAGATCCAGTGACAGGATTATTGAGAGCTATAACATTTCCCCAGTGGTAAATACTGTAATCTACAACTGCAGACATCGTTAAAAATGTCTGTTTATAACTACCCGGTAGTTTTTTCTTGTTAAATGAAACAGAATGGGATGTTTTAATGTATCTCATTAAAATGTTGTAATGTATTAGTTCTAATGGTTGGTTTATTTATTAAATAAGACTTATCTATGTTTCACATCTAAGATATACTTGCTACTCTTTAAATAAGTGTCATGTTTGTTTACTTGTCATATATATATCATCATCAGACATATTTGGGGAGTGGTGGCGCAGAGGTTAGAGAGGTGGGCTTGTGATCCGAAGATCGCCGGTTCACGCCCCGGCCCCGACAACATCAAAATTGTGGGTGGGGTAGGTGAAACACCCACACTTGCCCCCACCCTCATTCGTCCCACTCTGGGCCCATGAGCAAGGCCCTTAACCCCCACCATGTGCTCCCTAAAACAGGTCTCTCTTGCAAATGAGTTCTCGTGGCTCAATGAGACTAACCTGGATAAATAAAGGCTAAATGAAAAAAAAAAAAAAATAATATGCAGGTTAACACAAGGTCAACAATGCAATGAAATGTTCAGGGTGAGAAGAACTGATTTGACTCGCTAAAAACAACAACAAAAAAAACAAGAAATACTAAAGCATGCAATAAAAGTACAAAATAAAGTACCAAAAAGTGAAAAAGAAATGTAATATTTACAAAGTCCTAAAGACATATAGCAAACAACAACATGGTAGAATATAACGTTGTAAGTAGAAATAATTGATATAAGTATTTCACAGGTAGTAATATTAACTTAAATGTACATGATATATAATGCACATAACATAAACTACACAGATTGTGTGACAGGTTATTGCAGGTAGTGAGTAACATTGAGATGATATGATAGTAAGGTAGTGACATGCATGATACAGCCACATCTTGCAGCAGTAATAAACATATTAGTTGTCACAGATGTGGTTTAGTTCAATGTTGTTGTCAGTTGTTCAGTATTATTATCAGGAGTTCAGTAATCTGACAGTTTGTGGATAATACCTGTCCTTTAGTCTTGTCGTGCCTGATTGCAGACTCCTGTACCGTCTGCCTGAGGGTAGTAGAAGAGTCCTTGTGCTGGGTGGGTGTGGTCCTTAATGATGCTGCGTGCTTTACGCAGACATTGGCTGTGACTATAGTGAAAATAATTTTAATCCAGTGATGAATGAAACTTGAATAAAAGCATCGTTAATGAGTACAATTAGAGTGGCACTAAAGAAATTGTATTTTGTGCAAAAATGCTGAGAGAATGCTGAGTGCTGAATCATTTAGCTAAAATTTGATGAAGAAGCTGAAATTAGGTTATGGCTAAAAAAAAAAGTAGAACACTAGCTAAAGCTTAAAGGAGCAAAGCATTAGTTAAAAGTAGAACAGGTTAGATGAAGCTGAAAGTTACAAAGCACTATAGCTAAACGATGAGTAGCAAAAGGCTCACAGAAAACAAAGTAGCCAAATTTTCGCTAAAAGAAGCAAAAATCTTGATAAAAGCTAAAAGAAGCAAAACATAGTAAAACACTTGCTAAAAGTTATATGTAATTAAAGGCTTGGTAAAAGCTAAAAGTAGCTAAAAGCTATCTAAAATCAGCAGAAGAAAATAAAATATGTGCTAAAGTAGATTTCTGGAAACAGTGTTTTGGAAGGAATTGATAAAATCTCTACTGGGAAACTTTTAGTAAATAGTGCATTGTTTTGAAAAGTATAGAAGTTAAGGAAAATAAAAGTGTCAGCGCTTATCTCCAGAATGAGCTGAACGTTTTGATGTATGAATCAGTAAAATAACACAAAGTATACAGGAGAAGTTACGCTGCAAACACTGCATGAATATACAAAGAAAACATGAAAACAGTCTTGTGAATGCCGACTCAGCGTTTGCACTATTTAATCTTTTGAATGGGCTTAAATCCAGTAAGATTAAAAGAAGAAGAAGAAGAGCTCTCGATCGCTCAACGTTGAGCTTGTTCAGGCTTTAACGGACATGTGAACCGAGTCTTGATATTTGTGGACAGATTACCGTATGTTTCAGACTATAAGGCGCACTTAAAATCCTTTAATTTTCTCAAGCAGTGGGCCTTATAATCAGGTGCACCTTATGAATTAATTCTGGTTGTGCTTATTGACCTTGAACTGATTTTATGTGGTACACGGTGTTAAAAAGATCTGTCAAAATGAACTTGTTTCGCTTAATGCGCCTTATAATCCGGTGCGCCCTATAGTCTGAAAAATACGGTAAGTCAAGAACAAGAGCACATTCAAACAGAAGAGTGGACTGAAAATGTAATTAAAAAAAATGTAATAAGCAAAAGGACAAAAATAGGGTGACAATGTATTTCTATGAATCGTTGACATCCAGACTCATGGATAAGGCTGTTTTGCTTGAAGTCCAGTGTTTGCATGACATCAGAATGTCACTTCTTTTATAAATGTACCATCCTGTGTCAGTCCCTCAGGGCCCTGAATGCAGATGCTTCTTCTCGTGGCCCCTGTGATAATGCTTAACCCCCTTCCCTTCCCCCTCCACTCTTCATCCTCACCCCCACTCATGTTCTTTACCTTCAAACACATTCATCATCCCCACCTTTTCCCACTTCCTCCCTCACCCTATCCTGTCCTCCTCTACATTCTCCTCTTCCTCCTCTCCTATAGCTCTTAGTGTTTCTGTTCCAGGGTACATCCCCAGCTACCTGGAGAAGGACGAGCCGTGCGTGGTGTGTGGGGACAAGGCCACTGGGTACCACTACCGCTGCATCACTTGTGAGGGCTGCAAGGTACAGTCAAACCTTTCTTCCTTCATGAACTGGTCTCAGAAACAAAAGGGTGCAACATACTATACCATTTTATTTATAGAGCACTTAAAACAGCGACAAGGCCAACCAAAGTGCAACGAGTGTCGATGTATTTTCCATGAGTTGAAATGTTGACGCAGCATGATGGCACAGTTGGTAGTGATGTTGCCTCTCGGCAAGAAGGTCGCCAGATTGAATCACGGTCTTTCTGGGTGGAGTTTGCATGTTCTCTCTGTGTTGCGTGAGTTTTCTCCAGGTACTCCGGTTTCCTCCCACAGACCAAAAACATGCATGTTAGGCTGATTGGTAACTCTAAATTGTCTCTAGGTGTGAGTGAGAGAGTGAATGGTTGTTTGTCTCATTTGTCTCTGTGTCCCTGTGATGGACTGAAGACCTGTCCAGAGTGTCCCCTGCCTCTCACTCAGTGACAGCTGGACAAGGACACCAGTGACCCCAATGACCCAAAAAGGAATAAGTGGGTAAAGATAATGGATAGATGGATGGATGAAACCTGGTGGTGGAATAGTGAAGTTAAGGAAGCTATTCAATGAAAGAGGTTAACTAAGAAGAAATCTGAGAGTGAAAGGACTGTACTTATATAGCACCTTTCTATTTTATGAAGATACTCAAAGATCTTTACACTACAATCTGTGCCTCATTTACCCATTCATACAGCACTCTACTAGATCTCTACAAAGCTAATTGAACAAATCATTATAAAAAGACTAATCAGAGCTTTATCACATTCATACATTGATGGGACACACATCGGAGGCAATGAGGGGTTCAGTGTCTTGCCCAGGGGCACTTTGGCATGTGACTGCTGGTGGATTCGAACCCCCAACTCTCGCATTGGAGGACGACTGCTCTAACCACTCAGCCACAGCCGCCCCTGAAGAGAGGAGACAGGAATTTACGAAGATACAACAGAACAAAGAAGGAGGTCCATCCATCATCTTTCACCCGCTTCTTCCATTTTGGGTCACGGGGGTCCCCAGTGCCCATGTCCAGCAATCACTGTGCGAGGGGCGGGATACACCCTGGACAGGTCTCCAGTCCATCACAGGGACACATAGAGACAAACGAGACAAACAACCATTCACTCTCTCACTCACACCTAGAGACAATTTAGAGTTACCAATCAGTCTAACATGCATGTTTTTGGACTGTGGGAGGAAACTGGAGTACCTGGAGAAAACTCACACATGCACGGAGAGAACATGCAAACTCGACCCAGAAAGGCCCCCGGACCGGGATTTGAACCAGCAACCTTCTCGCTGAGTGTCAGCAGCTCTACCGGTTGTGCCACCGTTCTGCCCAAAGAGTGAGGTAGCTAAGGCAAAATTTAAGGTATATGATGAGTTGTACAGGCTCGACACTAAGGAGAGGGAGAAATAATCAGCCTCTTTAAAATGTTCTTTTTACTCCCAGACTTCTTACTGACCTGTTGCCAATAACATAATACATTGCTAAATGTTTTCCAGGTATTTTATTTTCATACTACTTATTGTTACAGCCTTGTGTTGCCATTGTCACAACTTTTTTGAGATGTGTTGCTTCCATAATATTCAGTTACCTTGTGTTTTCTCCAAATGGTACAATTATTATTTTTTGTTGAATTACTTGAGTACACTATGTTCCATAAGATTATGGGGTTATGAGATTAGCAAATATTGTTTTTCTTCTTTTGTTTTTTTTTTACATTTCGCATATCATCACAACGTTTTTTATTTTATTTGGGGGTGTACAGAGTAGTGCAGGACATGTAAAAGTACACAGAGACAGTGGAGATATGGGCAGTAGAGAACAGGTGGAAGAGACTCTGGAGAGGTGAAGATGTGCTTTGCATAAAGGACAAATGACAGTGAGCTGAAAAAATGTAGGTTCCTTTATAATTAGTAATGTGTTCTATATTTGAATTTCTATTTCTCTGAACTTAGGAAATGTTTTACTGTTTTTTTGATTAATTAATTATTTTCATGAAGAATGTTTGTTTTCTCTGAAGGTTTTTTTCTTGCACACATCTGTTGCTGTAAATTCCTTCCATCTTTTATCTCTCCACTATCTCCAAATTTTCTTTCTGCCTTCAGGGTTTTTTCCGCAGGACAATCCAGAAAAATCTCCATCCGTCTTACTCCTGTAAATATGACGGGTGCTGCATCATTGACAAGATCACCCGCAACCAGTGCCAGCTGTGCCGATTCAAGAAGTGCATGTCTGTGGGCATGGCCATGGACTGTGAGTCATTCCCAACTTGGGCTTCATTATCTCTACCTGTGTTTAGAGGTTCTTGGAACTGAACTAGTACAGGGGTAAACGTATCAACTCACCATGGGCATCAAATTAATTTTATGTGAAGGGGACGTGTCCCCCTCACATAAAAAAAATTAATTTGGACCCCCCCACCCCCCCCCCCACCCACACACACACACACACCGAACATCAACAATGAAATTTTAGTTCACCCAGCTCTGTTTCTATTTCTTCATAAACAAATCCATTCCACTTGATTAATAGGAGAATACTCAAACCACTAAAAGTTCACTCCAGGTTTTCCTGGTTACCTACAACTACTCATCACACTGCATGCAGTGTTTCCCCGAGGTCACTTGGCTCTGCAGGGCGTTCATCTCTTCTGGGATTTTTGTAGATGGGGTGGGGGGAGGAGGGGGAGACACCTCTGTGTTGCACGCTAGCTTGGCACTACATTAGTGCTGGCACTTGTTGACCGGGGCGGGGGGTTAGGATGTGTGAGAGAAGTGGGGTGGAGAAGTGTGCTCTATTCACACAAGGAGAGCTGTTGGTCAGGCTGTGTCTTGTTACTCTCTAAAACAGTTATTGAATCAAGTGTTTACTTGTATATGTAAACGTAGATGTTGAACAACCTGTTAAAATACATCAGAATGCAGGAAATGACATCTATTTTATTCACAATTTTCTGGGGGAGGATCCCCAGACACCCCACCTCCTCTGTGCTTCTCCACCCCACATTACAAATACTTCTGACACCAACGGTCTCACAGTAGGAAGATTTTGATTTGGAGCAAACACTCTTCACATTTTGCATTAGGTAGATAACAACAGGGAGATACAAATGTCCATAAAAATGTTTTCTTCAGGAAGTTTTGTTAGTAACAAACTGCAAACACATAATAATAATAATAATAATAATAATAATAATAATAATGTCATCACAATGTCAGCACTGTATGTTTCCATACAATGGTGAAATTAGTCTCTACATTTAACCCATCCACCACAAGGTGGTGCAGTGGGCAGCTATTGAAAGCGCCCGGGGGGCATTTTGGGGATGAGGCGTGCTGCCCAGAGATGCCACGTGATGTGCAGTGACTGGGGATCCAACCTGGGACTTTCGGGTCCCAAGCCAGCTGCCCTGCCTCTACACCATCTCGGCCCCATAGACTTGTATCCCGTGTCAGCACATTTCAAAATGCTCTGATCTGTTGCACTGGCCTTCCTCTCTTCATGAACTCACCAAACCAACCACGCATCTCTCTGTCTTTCAGTGGTGTTGGATGATTCGAAGCGTGTGGCCAAGAGGCGCCTCATTGAGGAGAACCGAGAGCGCCGGAGGAAAGAAGAGATGGTGCGGACGCTGCAGATGAGGCCGGAACCAGACAGCGCCGAGTGGGAGTTGATCAGAATGGTGACAGAGGCTCACAGGAACACCCACGCCAGCTACAACCAGAAGCCCAAGTTCCTGGTAAACTTTTACTTTCAGGCACACACAACTGGGGACAAAACAGTTTTAAGTTTGAAGGAACAAAGTTTTCTTAAGGATAATGGTTAAAAAAAAGATTTGAGTTAATAACTGCAGACTTCTGCAATGTAGGTTTTGTTAGAGTTGTTTGGAACGTTTACATTCTAAGATCTTACAACAGAAAGCAGCTTTTGTTCCTCACATTAATAATTTAGGCCTCTTTAAAGATTGACCAACTACAACAGAACTGCTAAAATTTAAATTCAATTCAATTCAAAAATACTTTATTAATCCCAAAGGGAAATTATTTGTTGTTGTAACTTGTTATCCTCATTTCATCAAGAGATGTTACAGATACTGATGGCTGTAGGCAGGAAGGATCTCTTGTAAAGGTCCATCCCACAGTGGATCCTAAGAAACTGGCTGCAGATGACGTCCGATACGTCCACCCAGACTCGGCTGGCCTCTTGGTTCCCCCGGGCTGTAGGACCGCCTGAATGTCGGGCAGAACTCCTCCCAGAGCGATGGCCACTCCTCCCAGCAGTCTGCCGAGCTCCTCGTCACTGCGGACAGACAACTGTAGGTTTCTGAGGGACGATCCTGTCCTTCCGCTGTCATGAGCCGTGTTTCCTGCTAGTTCCAGGATCTCAGTGGTCAGGCACTCCAGCACAGCTGGCAGGTAGATGAGAATGTGTCCACAGAACATCCTTTCAACTCAGTTGAGATTTGGGGCTGTAGTTGAGATATTATTTGAGCTTTTGAGATGTTAATCAGCTGCTGTTGGTTGTAGAAAACTGTCTTGTTGCCCTGGTTACGCATGTATACCATACAAATGTATGAGCTCTGTAGTTTTTGCTATACAGAAAATAAATCAGAGTGATTGATGAGTGCTGTATGAATGGGTAAATGAGGGCACAGGTTGTGTTGTAAAGCCCTTTGAGTATCGACTAGATAGAAAGGCGCTATATAAGTACAGTCCATTTACCATTTTGCATTCTTAATTTGTTTTAATGGCCAGTTGCTTAGTTCCACAGGGGAGGAGATGTGGTTCTGTGTAAGGGACTCAGGTGTTAGCTCCATTCTCTTGTGACAAAAGTGGATGTTGGGAAAATACCTTAGGAAAAAAAGAGTTAAAAAATGGTGCATGCAGTCAAAACACATCTCAAAAGATTAATTTAATCTCTCCCTTCATTTTGCTGAAAGTTATTTCCATTTCAGGAAACAAGCTGACATCTCAGGCGTTTTCATAACTCTTCATTGAACTGCTTGGTGACGTCCACGTGATTAGCACCACATGCCGTTACACAAGGGTACAACTCTATTGGAAACCTTTATAAAAAGATCAGATGGCAGTTTCCAGGCAACCAGTCTACATGTTTTTTTTTAAAGATTTGCTGAAAATCAAGAAGTACCAGAACATTAAAGGACAAAGAGCAAGGACTACTTGGGGATGAGTGGTGGAGCAGGTCAGAGCGCCACGACTGCTTCTGCATAAAAATGTTACAGCTTTTTTCTTTTCTTCTTTCAATTCACTGTGATCCACTGAAACCAAACTTTGAAATATCAAAAAAAATCTCATGAATTTTCTCATACGTATTCCAGATAAACAGGGTCACATTTTTGTTGTGGTCTTTGTTAAAGTTTTTAATCCATAATCCTGTAACTTCCCACCATGATTTAATGCAGTATTTTTGTCTCCTTGAACCACAACAAACCATTATTTACCCTCCGGTGATGCATAAAGTCTGTCATGGTCTAAAGCTGCTGGTTTAGCTCTAAGTTCCCAGTTTCTCAGAACATGGATCAAGTGTTCAGTTGTGAACAGGAACTATTAGAGTTTTAGCAACATTCACTCACAGAACAAGATACTTTTATAGAAAGATGTTTTATCTAGTTCCCTAAACTGACAGGACATTTTCTCATTGTCCTATATACGCATCTCCACTTAGCATTTACAGATTATTAAAATTTAAGTATTGCTACTTTTCTCTTCACTCCTTGCTAACTATGTCTAGTTAGTTTGTTGGTTTAATGTTTTTTTAGAAAAAATGGCCAACAAATTCAATATTGTTAAAGATCTTTGAGATGTCGGATTCACTCTTGGGGATTGTTGGGTTAGGAGTTCAGCTATTTGGGTAGAGCTTGAAGTTGTTGCTACTTGGCATCAAAGTGAGCCGGCTGAAGTGGCTTGTGCATAGGCATCAGAAGTATTTGTAATGTGGTGGGTAACACACTGATGTGTGTGTGTGTGTGTGTGTGTGTGTGGGGGGGGGGGGGGGGGTTCTTGGGGTCCTACCACAGAAATTTTTGAATAAAGTAGATGTTCTAGAATTGCGCCACTCAAGGTGGCTGCATGTTGGAGCAGCTCTGTTACTTTCATTCTGAGATTTTGCTTTTGGAAACTTTAATTCCTATTTTTCTGGATGTAAATCACAGTTTTTTGGATGATTGTTTCCTCTGGTATTGGATGTTGTGCAGCTGGAAGGATTTTTACAGAAACATTTTTAATTTTGGACATTTGTTGTGATGTGTAACCATGGCAACAAGACAGTTTTCTACAACCAACAGCAGCAGATCAACATCTAAAAAGCTCAAATAATATCTCAACTACAGTCCCTAATTTCAAATGAGTTGAAAAGGATGTTCTGTGGATGCATTCTCATCTACCTGCAAGCTGTGCTCAAGTGCCTGACCACTGAGATCCTGGAACTAGCAGGAAACATGGCTCATGACAGAGGAAGGGCGGGATCGTTCCTTGGCACCTACAGTTTTCTGTCCGCAGCGACGAGGAGCTCAGCAGACTGCTGGGAGGAGTGGCCATCACTCTGGGAGGAGTTCTGCCCGACATTCAGGCGGTCCTACAGCCTGGGGGAACCAAGAGGCCAGCTGAGTCTGGTGGACAGATCGGACGGACCAATTTCTTTGGATCCACTGTGGGATGGACCTTTACAAGAGATCCTTCCTGCCTACAGCCATCAGTATCTATAACATCTCTTAATGAAATGAGGATAACGAGTTACAACAACAAATAATTTCCCTTTGGGATTAATAAAGTATTTTTGAATTGAATTGGATGCCATTTCCTGCATTCTGGTGTATTTTAATGGGTTGTTACTTACATAACAACAGCTCTCTGTGTGTGAATAGAGCACACTCCACTTCATGTATCCTAACACCTACACCCCTACACCCCCCCCCCCCCGCCCCCGTTGACAACTGCCAGCATTAACGTAGTGCTAAGCTGAAAGCCCCCACATACTTGGGAGTACTTCACTCCGTGGAGGTTCACGCATACTCCATGTGGACTCGATGTGGACTCGAAGTGGACTCGATGTGGACTTGAAGTGGACTCGAAGTGGACTCGATGTGGACTCGAAGTGGACTCGAAGTGGACGTCTGCCATCCATGTCCATGCTAAGATAAATTTTTATGACCATGTACGCGTACTCTGTGTCGCACAATATACTGCCCAGCGAGAAACGGTGTTCACATTGAACTGTTTTGTATGTGACACCAACCACTCTCAGATAACAGCTTTCAGAGAGCAGGAAATTTGTGGGAGGAAGTAGCTTAGACCCTGGGTAAGGACGAGGCACTTTGTCGAGCTAAATGGAAGTACCTCAGGGACAGATTTGTTAAGGCAAGAAAGAAGATGAGAGGAAAAAGTGGGGATGGGCCAAAGGGAGGTGTCCCACCTATTTTTTGCTGTCTTAGCTGGACACCTTTGTAAAATACTGGGAGACAGAGACAATCTGTACACTCGAGTATGAAGTCTCAACCGTCTGTGGACAGTTCACACGCGGAGTCCATGTGACTTACAGAGTACACACAGTATGCCCGAGTATGTGGGGGCTGCAGACGTAGCGCTCTGCTTCACTCACACATCCTGCACCCCCCCCCCCCCCCCCCCCCCACACACACACACACACACACACCACCACCACCACCACCCCGGTCAATAACTGCCAGCACTAACATAGCGCTAAGCTAACATGCAACACAGAGGTGTCTCCCCCTCCTCCCCCTGTGCTGTCCACAAAACAACCCCGAAGAGATGAGCGAAGCCAAGCGACCTCGAGCAACACTGCACGTGGTGGGTGTGGTGAGTTGTTGTAGGTAACCAGAAAAACCCGGAGTGGACTTTAGGTGGTTTGAGTATTCTCCTATTAATCAAATGGAATGGATTTGTTCACGTAGCAATAGAAACAGTGCTGGGTGAACTAATATTTTATGGTAAATGTGTGTGTGTGTGTGGGGGGGGGGGGTCCAAACAATTTTTTTTTAAATGTGAGGGGGGCACATCCCCATCGCATATAATTAATGTGATGCCATCTGAGAATGATGCTTTCTGGGTGTCCTGTTAGGGACGTGTTTTACATGTCTTACTGGTGGATCTCATGGCAAACTGTGGAGTCACTGAACAGATTACATCTCACAGCTGGTCTGGGAATACCTCAGAGCTCCCTCTGATGATCTGGGGAGAGAGAGAGAGCTGGAGACCTCTGCTAAAGCTGTTGCCCATGTGACCCAGATTCAGATATTGGATGAATGAGTGCATGGATGAATGTTCACCTCTGTCTGTTATCCTATAAATGGATTTGTGTTTTGCCTTTGTAGCCTGATGAGATCGGCCATGGTCAGATGATGCCAACCTCAAACGGAGATAAAGTTGATATCGAGGTCTTCAGTGAGTTCACCAAGATCATGACCCCTGCCATTACTCGTGTTGTTGACTTTGCCAAGAAACTTCCCATGTTTTCAGAGGTAGGTGGCCCCTTTAATGGGACAATCCGTTTTATAGCTTAATCAAATATGTAAAAAAAAATTCTCACCACCCTCAGAACACAGTAGGTTTCTATGTGCAGTGAAGATTCAACACATCACTCATAAACTCACCAATCCCTATAGACTTTTTAAAAATATTTTTTCGTCAGGAGTTAAGGAGGTTTGGCTTGTTGGGAAGTTTAGTGTTTGTTCCCTGTAAACACACCAAAAAGCAGAATTAACTTGTACCTTTGTTTGTTAAATATTTACACTGACAAAAAAAAAAAAAAACTATATCTGCTCTTTTTAATTACTCATTGCCCAGAGAAATGTTCTTCTGCTTCATAATAATGTCAAATAATTTAGTAATTGTTAATGTGATCACTTTGGCCTATAGAGGGTAGTAGAGGCAAGCTGGAATCTGTCACTGATATTTTAATGGGAACCATTTTGAAATAAGGATCTGTGAAAAGCCATGAACAAAAATATCTTACTTTATTGATAGCTTTTTTTTTTTAACAGCCTTACTTTAGAAACATAATTCAATTCTGAGCACGTTAGTGAGCTAACAGCAAGTCTGAACACAAGTCCAGAGAGGACTGCTGCTTTTTTGAAACAGGTGGTGGACACCCTGGACAGGTCTCCAGTCCATCACAAGAACACATAGAGACAAACGAGACAAACAAACATTCACTCTCTCACTCACACCTAGAGACAATTTAGTCACCAATCAGTCTAACATGCGTGTTTTTGGTCTGTGGGAGGAAACCGGAGTACCTGGAGAAAACCCACACATGCATGGAGAGAACATACAAACTCCACCCAGAAAGGTCTCGGGCTGGGATTTGAACCAGCAACCTACTCGTTGAGAGGCGGCAGCTCTACCAACTGCACCGCCGTGCCACACTCACACTAACCAACAAGGCTGTTATAAAGCTTCGCACCGCTTTTATTTGCACGTTTCATAGTTTTTCCAGGAAAAAAAAAATCAACATTTCTGTGAGAATTGCAGCAGGCCAAACAGGAAGTGCTACAGCTAGCTGTTGCTGGTGCTGTCCACTTTGGTCTTGGCTCCACGTGGTCCAGTGGTTACCCATTAATCCTGTTAGAATCTTTCTCCAAACTGAAGTCATCCAAAGAGCTATCTACAACAGATAATATGATAATTGTACCTTTTCAACAGAACCCTACTTCTAAGGCTGAACTGCATTTTTAAAAATAGATCACATTCAAATGATAAAAACATTTTGCTAACTTAACCACGTTACATCATTTTATTTGAAGTTAAAATGTTTCCTCTCTTACTGTACAGTTGGTTGTTATAGTCGCAGTCATCCTTTAGACTGAAGCTCTCTCTATCTTCCTTCGGATGTCTTTGTTTTCCAGCTGCCTTGTGAAGATCAGATCATCTTGCTGAAGGGCTGCTGCATGGAGATCATGTCGTTGCGTGCCGCTGTACGCTACGACCCTGAAAGTGACACGCTAACACTGAGCGGGGAAATGGCCGTGAAGCGAGAGCATCTAAAAAATGGCGGGCTGGGAGTGGTTTCAGATGCCATATTTGATCTGGGCAAGAGCCTGGCGCAGTTTAACTTGGATGACTCGGAGGTGGCGCTGATGCAGGCCGTGCTCCTCATGAGCTCAGGTGAGGAATTAAAATGCTAATTTGTGTCATTATCAGTGGCGGATAGTGAACCCAGGAGTGCAGACTGTACTCAAGAATATCAACAAACAGATTTATTCAACAAAACTAAGAATTGTCAAGACAGCTGAGTTACTTATAATAGTCAAAGTCAGTGCAATATAAAGAACCTAAGAGTGATACTTCAGTGAAAGTACAAGTATCTTACCATAAAATTACTTTGGTAAAAGTTAAAGTCTCCTTTAAAATTATTACTTGAGTAAAAGTTTTAAAGTATCGGACATTTAATGTACTTAAGTATCAAAAGTAAATTTCTCTTTTAAAATGTACTTAAAGTAAGAGTATTAAGTAGAAGTGAATGGTTAGAATTTCTACAACAATATTTCTTGGGTACAATATCTAATGACAAAAACTTGGATAGTTTGAACTGAACAATGAAAGATTGTTCTTTTAAAAGTCTGATTCTATTGAAGTTTATTCATTCAACCTTTATTAACCTTTATTAATCTTTATTAACAAAGCTGTTAGAAAACTCACGTTGTTGGGCTGGTTTGTTTACTGAGCTAAGTTCTGTTTAGTTATGGCTCGTTTCTTTCTGAATTTAATAGTTCCTATGCTCTTGAATGCACCGTGGCTGGTCCAATGCTAGTGAAAAGTGCAGAACTCAATTGGAGGTTTTTTTTCTCTCCTGACACGGACGGAGCCTTGTTGTTCAAGCTTGTTTGTGCTTTACTGGTCTACTGCTGTGTATAAATACCAGAAGAAACACAGCAAATAACTCACCCTAAACTGGATATTTGTCTCTGTGTTCTTTAATGGGAAGATTAGAGACCCGACAACTTCACCTTACTCTAACCTGGAGAACACCAAACCTCTCCTTTTTAGCAGCTATCGTCATTTTCACACCTATCAGGAATTTACAGTGGCTCCATGTGAGTCAACAAAGATCTATTGTAACGATTGATATCTCCATATGCATCTAGCTTGTTCACAGTGGGAGCACAAGCGGCAGGGAAGGGGCGGGGTTTGTGAGTGAGAGTGTCAGTGAGGGAGAGAGAAGGGGCTGCACAGACTGGGAGAACAAACAGGCATTGCCCAATCAGATTTCTTCATATTTTATATTGTAGGAACGAGTAACTATGATGGTTAAGGGAAATGTATTGGAGTAAAAGTACACATTTTATTGAGGAAATGTAGTGGAGTAAAAGTGAAAGTCGCTAGAAATGTAAATAACGAAGAAGTAAAAATACTTCAAAATTCTACTTAAGTACAGTAACAGAGTATTTCTGCTTTGTTACATTACAACACTGTTCAAAGTCAAAGCACATGTGAACTCAGGGAGGAACACGAGGGCGTAATTGCGACATGACTGTGAGAAGCACAGTGCACTACAAGGGAAGTAACTTAACGAGGTAAGAATATAAAGGCAAACTAACGAGAACCAGAACTAGATGGGAAAAAGCGGGGACAACTGAAAAACACAGGAGACTAAAGTGCACAAGATAATCAGAAATGAAAAAGAGATTAACAAAATTTACACAAAAGCACAGATCCTGACAATTTGCACCTATTGATGAGGTTGATTGAAGAAACTACATACTTCATAGGCATCGCATCAATTATATGTGAAGGAGACGTGTCCCCCTCGCATTTAAAAATGTATTCATTTGGACTCCCCCATATTTACCATGAAATATTAGTTCACCCAGCACTGTTTCTTTCTTCATCAACAAATCCATTCCACTTGATTAACAGAATACTCAAACCACTAAAAATCCACTCCTTGTTTTCCTGGTTACCTACAACAACTCACACCACATGTAGTGTTTCCTTGAGGTCACTTGGCTTGGCAGGGTACTCATCTCTTTGGGGTTTTTTTTGTCGAAGGGCTAAGGGGAAGATGGGGAGACACCTCTGTGTTGTGCGCTAGCTTAGCACTACGTTAGTGCCGGCAGTTGTTGACCGAGGTGGGGGGGGGGGGGGATTCAGATGCGTGAGAGAAGTGGAGTGTGCTCTATTCACACAAGGAGAGCTGTTGGTCAGGCTACTTCTTGTTGCGCCATTAACTCTAAAATAGTTATTGAATCAATTAATAAAAGTAACAGCACACATCACGGTGCCGAGCCGGTCGTTTTGATATAACATCTGTGGGAGAGACACGTTGTGGCTTGTGATAGGTATTTTTGTACCTAAAATATAAAGAACCACACAGGACAACAAAATTAGTTTTCAACCAGGCTTTTTGCAAAAAGGGGAGAACGCTGCAACAACCTCTAGAGTTGAGTACTGTGAACTCAGAAGGATTTCTGCATCTGCTCGTCTTTTATTGTCACAGAAAGAAGTGAAAACTGGACATCTTGATTATGCAGGCCATTTAGATTACACAACAAGGGCAAGGCGATCTTCGAACATTTTGATTAAACACTCAGTAATGAGTTTCTGATACCATTGTATCAGTTAAATTCTGCTTCGTACGCACAGTTAAGAAAAACAATGACAGTGTGAGACTGATGATGTGAGATTGATAAAATATGAGTTGATATGTATAAACCCTGACATCTCTGGTTTTACAAAAGAAAAAACAGTTCTCAGAAACTGCTACGTGGGTGAACTTTTATCAGTTCCTGTCAGTTTGGTTTAACTTTGCAAGTTTACAGCTTTACGGTCAAACAGACATTATTAGACAAAGAATGATAACGTTTAAGATACGAAAACCCTATCAGTTTGGGCCTCGTTAAAGTTGAAAGAAGAGCAAGACCCTTGTCAGGTGGCATAGGGTGCCTTTCTGGGCAGACTCCAATAACGTTTCCTCTGTTGTTTGTATCACTTCAGATCGTTCAGGACTGACGAGTGTGGAGAAGATCGAGCAGTGGCAGGAAGCCTACCTGTTGGCGTTTGAGCACTACATCAACTACCGTAAGCACAACATTCCCCACTTCTGGCCGAAGCTCCTGATGAAGGTGACGGACCTGCGTATGATTGGCGCTTGTCACGCCGGTCGCTTCCTTCACATGAAGGTCGAGTGTCCCAATGAACTCTTCCCACCTCTTTTCCTGGAAGTCTTTGAAGACCAGGAAGTGTGACTTTGCGTGCTGAAAGCTTTGGGGCAGTTGTTGAAAGGACACTGGATATTTTTTCCCCCCACCATGGGAACGAGCCCTATAATTTGTGTGCTTTTTTTGTCAAACACAAGACTGCACATGCACATCATGCTCCTCACACTTACAGGTGTTCATATTAAGTGGTACAACTCACTGCCATACCGGTTCAGTATGTCTATATGCAAACACAAGTTGCATCTGTGTGAATGGCCGGGCTGTTCCCACATCTAATGCAAACAAAGGGGCTTTGTCTCTTTTAGCTGCACAACCACCTGTAACCTCAGACAAATGTCTTTTTATTGTTTTCACATCTTGGACCGGCCCTTTAACTCGTCATCATCACAACGCCTCCCTAGCACCATCTTCTTCCTGTGCTCTCCTCCAACCACCCCAACCCTGTGAGTGTTTGTTAAGCTGCCTGCCTCTTTCACTTTAAGAAACACATTTTAAGAATGTAAAAAAAAGTCCTGTCTGTTTTACCTCTTACATTGTAAAATATGTTCCCTTATTTATTCTGTGGACAGTCTGGGGCTCACTAGAAAGCCTTGAGCCATACATCCCATAGTTACACATAAGCTCTGCTGAGACCTCAACACGTTATGTCTGTGATACAGATGTGCTTTTGGTTCTATTGTGCTTTGCCAGATGTGATGAGCATCACAGTGCTTTCTGTAAGAGCTGAGTGGAATCAGATTTGTGCCAAACAACAACAACAAAACATCTTGACAAATAAATACAAATACATTGGAGAGGAAAGAAACATGAGTGAAGCAAAACATGTCAAACATAAAATAACTTAAGTCTGAATAAATGTATTGATGGTTGTAGTTTTATTGTTTGACAGTTTGTGCTTCCTCTGTTTGAGTCTCCTTCATACGACCTTCACACTGTCGTGTTTGGAGCTGCAATTTTATTAATTTTTTGTACGGCCTGTTTTTTTTCCTTCTAATTTATCTTTTGTGATTTGATAAACAATACGTATTTAATTTTACATATAATTTTTATTAGCAATTTCTCTCAATGTTTTCTGCGTCACAAATAAATTTTTCTCAGACTAATTGGCATTTGATATGGAGATGAATTTAGCTTCTTTTTTTATTATTATTTTTTATTTTAGATTTTTTTTTTGCACAAATGTGTTTCCACAGTTTTCATCTTGATTATTTTGACAGTTGAGTTTGTCTTAAAGACACTTTATTTTGCTTGTTTGTTTGTTTGGCACAGATCTGTTTCCAGAGGGCGTGGCCAAGCTGTCATCTGCCTTAACAGTTTATACAGTGCTTGAAAAAGTCTTCACCCCCTTCGATGTTTTACCCTTTTATTGATTTTCAATAAGTCCTGGTCAATATAAATTAAATAACAAAAACACTCTGAATTTGTTTTGTCCAATTTATATTGACCATATATGACTCCAGATTAGAGACACAATAAGGTAAAATGTCCAAGACGATGAATACATTTATTGGCACTGTACACACACACACACACACTTACTCACAAATACAGATATACACTGTATATATGTACAGTATGTATAAATGTACGTATATATGTATATGTTTATACACACACACACACATATATATATATAT